CTTGGAAAAAAAAAAAAACAAAAATGTAAAGAAGCAAAAAGCAAAAAAGCAGAAAAACACAAAGAAACCTTTTTCACAAGTGTGGATAACAACTCGTAACAGACACAAAATCGCAGAATGGTTGGCGAATGAAACAGAGCAAAACGAAAAAGAGGAAAAAAGAAAAAAAATAGCAGAGAGAAAACAGCTAGTTGCTAGCAAGCGCAACGTACGTAAAGGGAGAAGGAACATGACCCAGCACGCTGGAAAGTTCTTTTAAAGTTTGAGTCCACGTAAGCGGTCCATCGAGCGAGGGGACGGCGAAACGGGAGTGGTAGTGGGTGGAAGTCCAAATCGATAGTGCCATCCTAAGCAGGAGTGTGCCGGTGTTTTCCCTGAGGGGTAGTCTCCCTTAACGCTGGGATATATCCCCCCATTTTTGCCACCCGGCTGGTGTGTGCGCCGCTACCCACTTCTCTCCCCCGGAGTTACTGACTGAACATGCAGAGCATGTCGTCGTACGACACGGGGGCGGAGTCCTCGGATCTGAGCTCGTTCAGCCTGAAGGGGAAATCGTCATCCAAGGGGAAGGGCGAGCAGAACGGGAAGGAAAAAAATGTGAAAAAAAATAGCAGCGTAGAGTACAGTGAGGAGACAGAAACAAAAAAGAAAAACGAACAGAAGAAGAAAACTGAGCACAAGGATAAGAAAAGCCTGATGAGTAATACCCAAGGGAGGAATGCAAAAAGTGCAAAACAGAGTGACAGTCGGAAAAACCCATTGGACATGTACAGAAGCAAATTAAAGTTCCTAACGGACAACATAATCCTTATTGGGATTATCTTATCCTTTATGACACTGATCACGTTTAAATATATGGAGGAGAAGTATTCCCTAGAGACATACTTAGAAGATGGAGACTCCTTTGATTATTACGAGGTGTTAAAATGCAAAAGAGGAGACAGCATAAGTAAGATCAAGAAGAATTATCGTGATTTATCAAAAATGTACCACCCAGATAGTAACAAGGATTGCAAAGACTGTGACAAAAAGTTCAGAGAAATTACCCAGGCATACAAAACCTTGTCTGATCCGAGATTGAAGAAGGCATATGATCATTCGAAAGGGAAGGTATTAAAGCTGATTGAATCAAACAGTATCAATTTGACGACAAGGAATTTCAACGATGTGGTAGAAAACTCGAATGACTACTGGATTATTCAGATTTACTCCGACACGGATAACCTAAGTTTGAATTTCTCCAAAATTTGGGAAGAAGCATTTGACATGTATCACGAGTATATATCCTTTGGACGGATAAACATATTGACAGACAAGAAGCTAGTTAAGAGTAAAGTACCTTTTAATGTCAAGATCTTTCCCACCATTTTTATTCTCGCTCCAGATGGGACCTACGAACTGTATTCAAACATCTTCAACGCCACGTCGAAAGATTTCCAGTCATATATTGTTAATAATTATCCTAGCTTAATTTATAACGTGCACGATTTTAACAAGGCGTATTCCTCCCTCATGAAGAGGAATGATCCTGTTAGTAAAATTGGATCCTCTCATATTGACAAAAACAATAAAGTGCTTCTCCTGTCCAATAAAAATAAGTTAAGTCTCCAAGTGAAGCATATCACATTCAAGTTTAGCAACATCTACACCACCTACGCGATTCGCTACAACCAAATTGACCATTTAACCAATGAGGCACTGAAAAAAGAAATCATCGATGCCCTTAAAGTACTCAGTGTTAAAAAGAATGACTACATCAAGGAGAACGAAAATATCGATTACTTCCTTTTGGTTAATAATAAAGCACAAGTGAAGATCATCAGACGAATTTCCTCCACGAATATTAAAAATGTATATAAAGATGCCCTGAAGAAGAATCTGGTAGAAATTAACGCTACCAATGTTGACTCGGTTTGCTCCACCGTGGGGTCCAGACACACCTACTGTTACGTTACCATCATCGATAAGCTGAATAACGAAGATACACTAAATTCACTGAAAAAAATTTACCAACATGTGAATACCTCCTACGCTAGTTTCACTTCCAAGTTGGGGTCAGACGAGATTGACAGCCACATGTTCATTCAACCGGTCTACTTACTAAAATCTAATATGACAAAAAATTTCCTCAATTTTGTTAAAGACAAATCTGTCAATACGTATGAGTCCTTTTTTCTGGACTACTCTTCGAATACCTTCGCCACAGTGAACGAAATAAAAAATTTAAGTAACTACTCCCAGAAGAAGGAAGATGTTTCTTTTCTTTCCAACATTTACAAAGACATCGAAATTTTGACATTTCAGAAAATCCCAAAGTATTGCCTCCCCATGGGGGTTAACTGTCTCTATAACCCTAAGAAAACCTTTTCCTATCAACTGTATACCATTTTCAAGAGGACCTCCAAAATGCAGGTCATCCTTTCTGCCGTCGTGGGTTTCGTCCTTTACCCCTCTTTTAAGCAGTACGGAAAATTGAGATACGCCTGGCTGGCCGCCTCCGTCGGCGCCACGCTCCTCGTCACCAACGTCAAGGATTTTCTGCTCCTCCTCGCGAGTTAGTGGAGTGTCAATCACCAGTGTAGCAGCGTGTTGCTGTGCAGTGTTTTTTTTTTCTCACTCCCTGCGCGCCACGGTTTCCCCTTTTTTTGTTACCTCTCTTAGCGGCCGTGCCCAAGCGGCCCTGCTTGAGCGTCCCCTCATCATCTACATATGATGAACGCATCGAACTATCACCTCTATGGAATGCTCCAATCGGCTTCCCCCAAACCGATTGACTTAATGGGATTGACTTAATGCGATTGGTTATGCAGCTGTTAGTGTTTTTTTCTCTTCCCCACTTAACTAGCGCGCGGCTGATTCAGCTGCCCATTAGAAGGAACTTCATTAAACAGTGGCACATGCCTCATCTTTTGTCCACTTTCCCATCTCGTCTACTTTTCATCCACTGATAAAATTGCAGAAAAATTTTGTCGTCAGAACGGCGCCAAATACGCCCTCCGCCATCCCTAACGTTTTAAAACCATACTCATAATGATGCAGCTGCGCATATGGTTTATAGTAACACGGGTGAAGTAGCTCTAATATGGTCACTCTCCCCAGGAGTAACATCCTATCAGAGTAACATTATTGACCTTCTTTTTCTCAAATTGCATGACATTGGCGCCGTGACTCTTGAAATCCATGCAGCTTCCTGTGTGTTGGCTGCACGCACGTATAAAGGGGCACCCTTTTAACCCACTTCAGAACATCGCCCTCGTGCACGTTGTTCTCGTAGCCAACGCGTGGGGCTCCGCCATTGCCGCTGAGTGTGTTGTATGCACCTACAGGTTGGTACACGTGCATATATATCCCTTTCGACGTGGCAAAAAGGGTGGAAAATATTTTTTTTTCTTTAACTTTCCGCTTGGAACTGTTTTTTCCATCAACAGGAGGGTCCCAATATACAATTTTGTTAAGCCGTCCATGAGAAGAAATAAATTGATGGGTTTACTTTTTTTTTTTTTCACTTTGTTACTCTACGCCTTCCCGCCTCTGCAAAAGGCCTATGAAGTATATGACGTATATGAAGTATAATATACCAAATGGTACATCCCCCAAATGTGCCTTCCAAAAAAGGGAGTATAACTTCCTAGGGAAAGGGAACTTCATTTCATGCGAATATTGCAATTTGTTGGAGCTCATTCCATCGTGCCGCTTGATACGTAGTAAAAAAAAAAAGAAAGAAAAAAAAAATAAGAAAAAAAGAAGAAAAAAAAGAATCACAATTGAGCATATGTAGATATCAGCCCATCGATCGGGAAGATTTTGTGTTGAGTTTGATTTGCCCAGGTGAGGGGAGTCCCGAGTAGGGGGTGGAAAACCAAGGCGTGCGCGCGGTAAACGTAGGCCCATGTATGTGTACGTAATGTTCATACGTGGTCACCTCCGTGAAGTGCCTACGTTACCACACCGTCGCGGCGCATTCTATTTCCATCCCATCAGTTCAGCGATAATGCTGCGTAAGGAGTGACAACCTAAGGAGTGATCATCTGAGGTATGACAATCTTCAGCCGCAAAAGAAAGCATAGCATTACCCGTAAGAGAATTCGAGCAAGGAGAAAGAAGGTAGGCCCGGGGATGCGTTCATTTCACGTTGGTACCTTTAAGTGTATTTGCGTGAAGAGAAGTTTGTTCCCTTTCACTCGTGCACACACCTATGTGGCCTTACCCACGTATATGCACCCTCATTCCCACATGGGTATCTGTGTGTCTCTGTTTTTCCCCGTGTAGACACTTCCCCCCCTTAGAGACGACGCAGCTACTCACTTCAAAACCCATATGCGCGTAAGGGTACCGCGAAAGGCAGCACATCACAACGCAGTTGTCTCATTAGTCCAAACCGTAGTGCACCCGTTTCACGAGGAGCAAGGCACGTAAGAAGAAACATTCTAAAGGAGCCTATTGAGGAAGTCCCCCTTTTTTTTCCCTCAACAAAAATGAACAAAGAAATTGCGGAATACGATTTGGAGGCCAGCTCAAATGTAGAAATAAAAAAAAAAATCAATGAACAAAAGAGCCCGTTGGAAAAGGTAAAGCCATTTGCAGTGGGTGGGGCCAGTGGGATGTTTGCAACTTTCTGTGTGCAGCCACTTGACATGATCAAGGTGCGGATTCAGTTAAACGCTGAAGGGAAAAGCGCAGTTAAGAACCCATTTATTGTAGGCAAAAATATCATAGCAAATGAAGGCATACTATCTCTGTATAAAGGGTTAGATGCAGGGCTTACTCGACAAATTGTATACACCACGGGAAGGTTAGGATTATTTAGAACTTTCTCTGATATGGTAAAGAAAGAAGGGGAACCTTTACCATTTTACAAAAAATGTTTTTGTGCACTCGCTGCTGGAGGCCTAGGTGCCTTAATGGGAAACCCAGCAGATCTGTCCCTAATTAGACTACAAGCTGATAATACCTTGCCCAAAGAATTGAAGAGAAATTACACAGGCGTGTTCAATGCTATGTATAGAATTTCAAAAGAGGAGGGAATTCTGGCGTTGTGGAAAGGATCCGTGCCAACCATTGCACGAGCTATGTCATTAAATCTGGGCATGCTCTCTACATATGATCAATCGAAGGAGTACCTAGAAAAATATCTAGGGGTAGGTATGAAAACGAATCTCCTTGCTAGTGTGGTTAGTGGCTTTTTTGCAGTCACTCTGAGTTTACCTTTCGATTTTGTCAAAACATGCATGCAGAAAATGAAAGTCGACCCTGTGACGAAGAAAATGCCCTACAAAAACATGCTTGACTGCTCACTCCAGTTATACAAAAAGGGGGGCATATCCATCTTCTACGCAAGTTACTCAACCTACTATGTACGTATTGCGCCCCATGCTATGATTACCCTGATAACTATGGATTATTTGAACAATTTGTTAAAGAAATTTGCTTAGCTTTTTTTTTTTTTTTCTGAGTACTGCTGTACCGGTATGTTTATGTGAGCTGGTACAAATTAAGTGAAAACCGCCAGCCTCTCAGTTCGCTGTGCTGACAAGTAGTGGCGAGGGGGGCGGATCCGCAGCCTAGAAAGAAGAAGTAGAAGAGCACACTGGTGTGTGCACATCTCGACTGCTTCACATGTACATCCATTTCTTCTCCTCATTAAAGCCAATTTTGTTTAGCTCTTTTTTTAAAAAAAAAAAGAATCTCCATTGTGTATCTTCCTAAAGCTAAAGCTACCTATCCATGTAAAAACCATTATGAACAAATTGCATTACCCTTTTTTTCTGCTCCTCTCCCCTCTGCCTCCACTGATATTTGTTCATAGTCTTTTTTTTTTTCACCATGTTGAAAAAAACACCCAAAGTGTTATAATAATTTTTTGGTCCCTTTGTGAAAGTTTATCCATTTTTGGAAAAGCTGTCGGGTAGAAGATGCGCGCCGATCTTTTTTTTTCTCTCTCATTTTTTTGCGATGATTTGTTGGAAGGGTAGCCAACAAGTCAGCAACATCCGCATTGTAAACAGATCGTCACTATTCGCATACCTCGCTAGGAGAACGATTGGTACACATTTTTGTTTGAGTTCCTCACCAAGGTATATTTTGAAGAGGCTCCACGGACCGATACTCTCCATGTGCTTAACTTCTCATGGAAGGTTAGCCCAAGTGTTAGTACGCACTATAGAGGCCTCACTAAATTGATCACCCGCTGGAACTTCGCACAGGTGTGTACGTTTCACCTGGGACAGTCAAGTCATTCCTTTTTTTTTTTTTTGTTCTTTTCTCTTGGTGTTGTCTCAAATATGCTTCACGCAACGTGCGCGGATAAATACGTAATCCCCCCTCTGGTGAACGAGGGAAGTCTTTCAAACTGATCCTGCGCCTGGTGCAGTAGTGCACTAAACGGGGGATCGAACATCAAAAAAGGACAGAAAAAGGACAAAAAAGGGAAAAAAAAGGACCAAAATGGGGACAAAAAAGGGGACAAAAAAGGTGTCCAATTTGCGCACCAGATGGGTATAATGCACCTCCTAAGACGCGGTGAAGGGCAAAATGAACGTCGTCCAAAAAGCATTGCATATGTAGAGCAATGTTTTGAGCGTACCTTACAGGCGCGTCTGTTGGATGAGCTTGCCATGGCCTCGTTTCTTCGTCACACTGCTTGGTCAGGAATGCAACCTCGCTGCATCAGCTAAACTGGGGGGAGTAGCAAAAAAAAAAAAAAAAAAACTCCGTAGAAGTTTTTCCCTTCACTGGCGGAATTGCCACAACGGCTAGAGCATGCTCCTTTGTGCCGAGGAGTGTGGCAACTACTTGTTGTGTGCCCAATTGCGGTGATGCTGGCCCTCGCGGTTGCACCGATTGCTCACATTGCGACGGTTGCGGGGTCGGTTCTTTTCTTTTTTCCCGTTCGGTGTACTGGACTCTACGCGTACGGTACCCCCAGTGCTCCTCGTGCACTACAAATCATCGTCCGCCACAGCGCTGCTATTGGTAGACGTGACCGATAGCAAATCGCGAGGGTCAATCTGATCGTTGTACTTCTTCTTTAGCGGATTCTCCTTCATGTTTTTCGTCAAGGATATAATGTTTTGGAACATTTCCTCCTTTTTCGATTTCAGCTTATTTCTAACAGAGGCGTGGTAGTTTTTTTTCCTATCCGCATTAGCGCTCAGGTGTACACTCTCTCTTTTGGCACTTCCGGTCATGTCCGTTTCTTTTTTCTGTTTCCCATTTTCTGGCTCGTTACGCGTGGAATTTTCCACAGAAGATGCAATTGGGTTAAATGGATTCCTTGAAACCATTTTCACATTTTGTTTTTTAAATACTTTCGTTTCATTATCAATGAGGAGGACCTTGGTTTTCGACCTGGCGAGCATTTTCCTCGCGCCAACAGGGGTAATACCACTCATTTTATCCTTCTTGTTCTCCAAAGGAGGAATCCCTTTGTGCATATTCATGACCTTCTTTTTATTTAAGACGATGGTGTAAGGTGGGTTCTTCATAGAACTTAGCCTAGACATGGTTTTTCTCCTCTTCAAGGCTACCGTGTTTTGCTTTTTGAGCTTCCCTTCGAACATCGATTTTTGTTTGCTCAGAATGCTTTTTTTCCTATGTTGGAAGTTAATATTTTTCGTGGGGAAAGTAACGGTACCTCTTCTAAACCTCAACGATTTTGTTCTCCCAATTGCTATTCTGGAGTTTTTATAAGTTAATTCTTTCTTCTCAGTTTTCCTTTTTGGTGGCATAATGTCCCTATGTGGGTAGTATCCCTTCCCCTGTTTCGGGGCACCTTTTTTTGCAGAAATGGCACCCCATTTGTCTTCCTCGTTGGATGTTGACATTTGTTGGGTGTTAGCAGTTTCTCTTTTATGTCTTGACTGTATGAGATCCTTCTTCGCTGCTTCGTACTTTGGAGTAGCTTGTTTGCAGAATCTGCCGTGACGGTCCGGTCTTTTCCCTCTTTCGCTAACCTGCTGATTGAACAAGCTGTGAGGACTGCGGCTATTATGCAGACTACGCGGACTGCGCGGACTCTGCGAATCGTGGGCATCTCTCCCCGATGAGCCTTCCACTTTCAAACGCTCATTCGAAGTTTCCCTATTTTTGCAACTCTCAGTAACGCTATACTTATTCCACACATTTTCATGTTCGCAAATTTTGACCTGTTTGATGGGCTGCCTATCATGCTTATCTCGCTTTGCGCCGTCACCTGGTGGTGGGTGGGACTTTTTGGGTGTTTTTCCCTTCTCCTGCGCGTTCATTTTAACGGCCACCATTTCGTTGTCGTGCAAATCCTCCGCGTCCCTTTTGATTCGTACAGGTGTGTCGTATGGATCATCCCCACTTGTGCTCCCCTTTGTTTGATGCTTGCTACCATTGGGCCCCTTCTTTTTAATATCGTTTATGTATTGGCTTAAGATACCCTCGACTTCGTTCTGCGCTTCCGCATCATGGAGACTTGCCCTCTCCTCATCGGAATCTGCAAAGATCGTGCTGAATTGATCTTCTCCTTTCACATCAAAAGTGACTTTTTGCTCAGAGGGGCGTTGTCCATCGTCGCTCAGGTGAGGATCACTCCTCTGCTGAAGAAATTTTCCGTGCACCATTTGTAGCCCCTTCTGCGAATTCTTATTTGCCTCTTCATTATAGCTGTAATGGTACTCAGGCTCGTCAACATGGACGTAGTCGGCGCAGTTCTCTATTGGACTCTCCAATTCGTTACATGCGCTTTCTCCATCATTGGAACGCGCGTATGTGCCTTCCAAGTCATTCGCAGTGGTCATTTCGAACGAGTTGTAAGGTGAATCCCCATTTCGGCTGCTTCCCTCCTCTGGATAATGAACCGCGGGGTAGTCCCTAGTCTGATCAAAATGGTTCTCTTCATAATGACGCGAGTCCCCTTGCGGTGCGTTGTAATCAATGGGGGAGCTCAATTTCGAAGCGAATAAGCCACTTTGATGACCACTTTGATGACGATTTTTCTCCTTTTTTTTCCGTTTCTCTTTATTACTTTTTTTGTTCCCTCTACATTTGGAGCACTTTTCATATGGGGGATCTCGAGGAACTCCGTACGGGTAGGACACAAACGGGTTGCACTGTCTGTTCATGGTTTGCTGCGCCATAGTGAGGGGGGAAAACACGGACCCGTTTAGCGGTTCGCCAAACGGATACTTCTCGTGATATTCCTTGACATATGGGCCCTCTGGTTCTTTGCGGAAGTATGGATTGTAAAAGAACTGCCTAGCTTTTATATCATTAACGAATGCGTAGTCTTCTTGTGGCCTGTACAGTAGCTGCGCGTTTATTTTTCTGTACCCAGGGATGCAACTGGCCTCTTCCATCATAAGCAAAAAAACGTTCTATGAAAATGAAGTGTTGTATTTGTAATAGCGTTGCTAAATTTTAATTCGGGGGATGCCGACACGGGGAAATAAAATGGAACCCGTATTTTCTTTTTTGCTAATGCGTAAAAGGTGTATGCTGTGGGAGTGAATTTGCCCTCACGCAGAATGTCTATATATTGATGGGAAGCAAAAAGGACAGTTGGTGAAAAGTGTCAGTATATTAAAGCGTATACTATGTTGTGCAAGTGTATAATTGTTGGGGACGTAGATTGGACTCCTTTAAAAATGTATCTTAAAGTTTTCGAAAAAAATGTAAAAAAATGAATATTCCAATTTGGTAATCTTGCTGCGAAAAGGAAATAAAAAGATCGATAGGAAAAAAGCATAAAATAAACGCAGCTTATTTTTTGCATCGATTTAGTTTTTTTTTAACAAATTGTAAAATGTGTGCACAGGTAGCCAAAAGGGAGAAAAAAAAAAAAAACTTACAAATAGCTTGAAATGGCACAACAACCTTGCCTGTTCATATATTTTTCTCTTTTTTACAACGCTGAATCTGGTTTTTTGCGTGGCAACCGCACGTCGTGTGTGCAAACGTGCGTGGCATACGGAATCGCGGCTATTTTTTTTTAACTTTTTCTTAATTTTCCTTCGTTTCGAAGTTTGGTCATAATCTTCCGAGCAGCCCTACACCCTGTGGGGATAAAAATAGCGACAATTCCCCCCCCGCAAATTTTCACCTCGGGAGGGAGCGATACACTACCATTTTAGCAGCCATATGGGAGAAACATTTTAAAGGTGTTCTCCCACTCGTTTTTATGCTACTAAAATAAATAGTGTGGTATGAGCCCCTTTTGCGCGAAAATTTCGAAAGAGCATGCTATTTTGAAATGTACCTATACCACAGGAACAGGTGCGCGATCAAAAAAGGTATACCATTCTTCCCCAACGTAGTTAGTATATGCTTTTTGAGGAAGGAACAAAATGGGGATGCAGTAAAAAGGCGAAAGGTGTTTTGGAGGGGCAAGTCCATTTCGACCATTTCTGAAGGGCGTGAAACAGGATGTGGCCAAGCAAACACGGACCAGGCTTCCACCCTGTTTGGATGTTACACTGAGAAAAGTAGCCATAAAGACATAAGGATTGTAGAAAATGAAAAGGAAGGCAATGACGCCGCTGAAGAAATAAACCAAAACGACATCATTGCAGTAGATTTTGAGGGGACGAATTTGGGGAAGTATGGAAAGGTATGCATAATGCAGGTGTACACGCAGGAAAGAACCCGGGGAGGAACACCCCAAAAAAGTGAGTGCTTATCCCGTGAGAAGTACTACATATTCGACTTGCTAAAAATGTCAGTCATAAAAAGTGTTAAAAAAATAATCGAAAATAAGAGAACGCTAAAACTGGTACACGACTGCAGGGAAGATAGCTCCGCCCTGTATAACCAGCTGGGAATAAAATTCGAAAACGTTTACGATACGTCCAGGGCGCATATGCTACTGATGGAAAGGGACAAAAGTAATGATATATATCAAGTAAGCTTTCTCCAACTCTTGAACGATTATTTGGGGATTAAGGATGAGTGTTTAAGTAGCATCAAAAAGGAAATGTATAAGAATGAAAAAATTTGGGAAGTCAGACCATTAAGTAAAATGTCCATCATTTATGCCTTAAAAAATGTGAAGTACTTATTCCCCCTGTACAGGATTTTTGATAACATGCTTTCAAAGAAAATCGTTTTGGAAAAATCGAAAGATTTTGTAAATTACTGTTTTATGAATTCGCGGTATAGATTACCCGTCGATTTGGCCAAACGGGGCAACATTGTCCAAGCCATGTTGGTCAGTAAGTCGATGCTAAATTGTGTCTTTAAACTAAATAGTACACGGAAAGGAATTGCATGCACCCCATCTTCCGTTGCCCAGTTTCGCGATGTTAAAGTGGGCGATTTTGTTCTGTGTGTGGTAAGCAACAAGTCCATAGATCAAAAAATTTTATATTTGTGCAAGCATGATGATGTGTACGATTACTGGAATTTGAAGGAAAGACCTAGGGGGAAATTTAAGCCGTCAATACATGAGAGTACCACCGACCCGATGATTCAATTTTGCGATGAGGAGCAACCAGCATAGAATATGGTAGGAGTTCCCACCACCCAAAAAATAGGCAGGTCGCTTTCTTGGGCTGGCTAAAGCACACAAAAACACGGACAAACATGCAGATACAAAGACATACACACACACGTCGTATGATGTCTCGTTGCGTGAACTTCTCTATGCGTAACAAATTGGTTGAGAAGATATACTGGGGTGTAGGCCATCTCAGCTGAGATGCTCCGTCCGCTTGAGTGGAACATCTTGGCGATGTGTTAGCCATGCCGCGTATAAGCTCAAGGTCTAGTAAAGGGGGATTCTCCCATCGCGCAAGGAAGTGTTGAACTGAACTGAATCGAATCGGACGCAGTGTACGTATGTGTGCAGAATGAGCCTCTGTGAATAAAAATCTGTTTGAATCCCTAATTTGGGGATTTTCGTGATTGTATTTTTTTTACCGCTTTGAGGGGAACCAATTTTGGGCTGCGCTTTGCAGTTAAGCGGGAAGCGCCGGCTAAACTGTCTTCTTTTTTTTTTTTTTAATTATATATTTATTTGCGTATTCTTTTGTGCATTTCTTTGTGTATTTATTTAATTACCCCCTTTGGGGTGACTTCCTACGCCTACTAAGGGAAGAGCCGAGGCGAATTCATTGCAGTGGGTATATACCCGTGTGGAGGCCCTATTCGCAGCGCTGATCCTAAATCCACATCTAAGATCCCGCATTGTAAAGGTGAAGAAGCTACCACGTAGAAGCACCACCCTGTGGGCATGTTCAGAGGGGAAGCAAAAGCGCACCTCCTGTTTATGCCAAACTGAGCGCACACATCATGGTTAGCATCTGTTCCAGTTTAGCTCCACGCTGGGTCAAGGGAAACAAAAAAAAAACAAATTTTAAAAAAAAAAAAAAAAAAAAAAAAAAAAACACACATTTTAAAAAAAAAAGAAAAGCAAACACTAACCTTTCACGTACACCACAGAGGCACCATAGGTACAAAATTTGCCCCATTCCCGTTAAGAACAGTAAGCGCGTAGATAATTGCGCACATGGGGTGTTCCAGAAGTGCACCGTAAGTGGATCTTCCAAGGGGAGGCACAATAAATGCGCCCTTTAAAAATGTAGATGTGCGCATGGTCATACGTACGATACAGGGAATACTGAGATCCGTTTTTGATTTATAATTTATTTTATCCTTTAAATGGTACAATCTCGAAATTGGGAGGAGAGAAGGTGTACCATTTGTATGTATACCATTTGTATGTATACCATTTGTATGAGTACCATTTGTTTGTGTGCCATTTGTATGTTCACCATTTGTACATGTACCATTTGTGTACAGCAGAGTATATTCTCAAATTAACACTGCCTCTGAGATATCAATAACCCTTTGGCCGCATCTGCCAGGCAAATATTTTCTAGCGGGACACGGCTAGAGGGCAACATCGGGAAAGCTGCAGAAGGATGAACGAAACGAGATCCTACAAATGGGTAATAATTTTAACATGAAGAGAAAAGAGAGGCAGATTTACCTTTCCTCTGTTGTGTCTGGCGTTGCGGCGTGGGCATGCATGTGTTTGTATTGTCCAGTCTAGTGGGCACTTTAGGAAGATGTTGTTCTCGCACCGTGTTGACCTTCGAACGGTTGAAGTGCTCAGCCTGAGTGCACTGCACAGCATATCACACGGAGCTTCCTGCCCCGGACACGTCGTGCACAACGGATGTTTCTTGCACAACGGATGTTTCTTGCACAACGAGAGTTGCTTGCAGAAGGAAAGTTCCTTGCACTTGATAAACTTCCCCTACTTCTTCCCACTCCTTCACCGCAGTACCTTGAGAACGGATGCGAAATAGTGCCCCTGAAGCGGGGGAGCAGCCGGGAGAGCGACTACTCCCTGATGCTGCTGGACATCCAGGCAGACTTCTCGGACTTTCTGATCGAAGAGAAGAACATCATCAGTGATGAGAAGCTAGTTAACCCGGAGGGGAACATATTCAATGTACAGAAAAGACAGTACACACAAAAGCAAAAGACAGCGGGATTAACAGAGCGGGAAAAGTATGTGCACGAAATTGACCATCTATGGGCCTACATGGAATGGCACTACAACTTCGAGGACGAGATAAAGGTGCAGAAGAGCATAGTGACCGATGTAGGGAAATTGAGGAAGGTCCCCAGATTATACGTATCGGCCCATATAATAGAAGGGATGATACATGAAATGTCGAAGAATGAAAACATATGCATGCTGAAGTATACTACATATCCAAGCTTTTACAACAAGTATGGCAATGAGATGGAAAATGTGACGGAACAAAGGGAGAGTAGCATTTACAATCGGTGCAACTACATCTATGAAGTTTGCGATGTTGCGGACAAGTCGCTAGTTTTTGCCAGCAGCCCCGTAATCAACACGACGATTAAAAATGTCCTCAGTATCACCAAGAGTGGGAAAAAAAGGGAAGACTTTAATGAAGAACAGGAGGAGAAGGAAGATATCGTGCAGGACGAAATTTGGCAAATCTATTTATCAAAAAGGATTAAATGTATAAACGATCAGTGGCTTTTAATTTGTATCAACCAGGAAGTAAAGGATATTATAAAAAACTCTGGAGAAATTTATTTCAAGATTTTTAATAAGTACATAAAAGAGTACAATGATTTTTTGAAAAGCCACAACTACAACACGTCGGACGATAAAAACGACATGCATGGCTCCAGCATGTTTCGGGGGCACCATGACAGACACAACATGTTTGAGATGAACAATGGTCCAAATGAAAGCTTAAATTCGGAAAGGCTTAAAAAGTATCGAGTGAATTTAATTTTCTCGGGCAATAAGGACATTAACTACATCCTGTACAAGTTGTGCCTGAACTTGGGAAAAATTAATGACGCCGTCCTGTGCACCAGAAATAAGACGTATAACATTCTGCTCAACGATATTGATGGGACGCTTGCCATTTGCCTAAAGTCGTTTTTTTCCAAGTACTACGGTGGAAACGCGGCGGAGTGTAAGGCGGCGGGGTTGAGTAACACAGCGGCGGAGAGTAACGCGGCCGAGGACCTAGTCAAAACGCTGTCCATCATGGGGCTCTGCAAGGAGAAGCTCGTGCTGTCCGAGAAGGCGACCATTTTCAGCAACATCGAGCTGCTTTTTTCGTACTACCTGATCGTGCACAGCGAGTCGCTGGAGGGGGGGGTCGGCCAAGACGATGCCCCAAACCAGGACGGCGTCATCTACCTCAGCAGGAAGGCCCTCTTCGAAAACCTGCAGTTCTCCACGGAAGAAATCTGCAGCTACCTACTGCACATGCAAAAGTACAGCACCAACAACTTGCTGTTCGTAAAAGGAAGGGGCTTCCGATACGTCAAAAGCGAAATCATATACGAATTTCTCGTAAAGATAATCGAGCTGGTGAGTATCCACGACGAGCTCTACGCGCATCATCACGTGGAGCGGGGGAGAGCAAGTAGTCTTCCCTTCAAACAATACAAGGACGACCTGCACAAGGTGGTAAGGAAGAGGCACGGCATCACACTGCAAAGTTTAGTCAATCTGATTCAGCAGAACGAGACGGAATTTGCCTTCTTAAAAAACAACAAAATTGCAATGGACACATATATCATCCTGCAGCTCTGCTGGAAATGCTGCGACATCGAGAACAAGCACTTTGACTTCTTCAGTCTGTACTACAATTACTACTTCTTTTATGAATACCTGAGTAAGCCTTCTGAGGAGATTTCCTTCGAGGGAATATTTAACGATTATCTTCAATTCTTGGATGATGACAGCCAAGTGAGCGACACGGTGGTGTATTTCAACCTCTTTAAGTTGCACAAGATTATGTCCTTAAACATCCTGCGCTCCAGTGGCAAGGTCGTTATTCACTCGGACGAATTGTTTACCTTCGACATGGACATGTTCACGTATGTTAAGTACATCGACGAGATGTTCCGAAATTTTAATTCGAATGTGATGGACAAAATTATACAAGACTTTATCAAATGTTACCAGTTTTTCCTGGACTGTGGTTACGATCGTCGGGTGAGCGCCGAGAAGGCCCTGCAGAACGGTCAGGCGAACACGCACCAGGAGAAGACATTTCAGACGAAAACACTTCAGGCGGTTGCAGCGCTGGACGCGGCCGCTCATGCAGCAGATGCTATGGCCTCCGACACCACCGCATCTGATGTCTACAAAGACCGAGTGCTCTTCCGAAACAACACCATCCTTAACGTTAGCAACATCAATCACATTTGCAACGATAGCTGCATGTTTGAATATTTCATTGTGGTGAAGTACTACTACACGGATAACACCTTTTCCCTGCTCGAGAAGAAATTGAAAAAATTTATCCACTCAGTGGAGGAAGACTTCTCAAGTGCGCACATGACATCTGCCACGGATTATTCTTCCTCTGGATCTGGAACCGGGGCAGGAGGAGAGGGCCGAGGAGGGGCTCCTTCCTACCATATGAGGCAAAACTATAAAGCAAACTGGAAAAAGGCCCAAAGCAACTACTCCTTGAATTACAAAATTTTTAAGTACCAAACGAATTCCTTCCCACAAATACGCCTGAGCAATAACTACAATGAGCTGCTCTGCTCTGTGTACACCCCCCTGGCGATTCATTTCTCCATTTTTCACGAAAATGTAATTTACAATAAGAAGCGGAACTCCTTTCAACTCATCCCTTCCTTTTTGCTCAAGGAAAATTTGCGCAGCTGCTTAACTGCTCTGTTCACCTTCAAGAATTCCTACTTCGCCCAGGAGTTCTACCCTTTTTTGAATCCTCTGCTAAATAACAAGGTGGGTTGTGGCTTCCCCGTTTTGGTGCCGCGCGTCGGAGAGGGGGGCCGTTCGCCAAGTGTTATCTGTGCAGGGGTCTATTAATGCTACTTCGGCTTATGCGTTTCTGCTAACTCTGCAATGTCACCTTTCCATATAGGTTTCCCCATCGCGCGTTGGCACCTCATTCTCCCCCATCACCACCCCCCTGCGCAGGACCTGATCGGAACCATCGCCGTCCCCCCGCTGCGCCACTGCAGGACCAAGCTCATCGAACGGGAAAACGAAAAAAACGTGGAGTTCCTTGAAACGGGAAGTATCGTCCTCTCAACGCTGAATAGTGATATGAAGAGTTACACCAACTACGGTGCCCATAGTCGGAAGTTGGTTGAGAAGCTGTGTAAGCTGTACAACTGCAACTTGCCCGTGAATAGCTTCTCCCCTTGATGGTTCTTCCCCCCCAGACTCCCCCCTTTTTTGGCGAAGACCTCCGTCGACCATTCTGCATCCTAGTTATCTCCTCGTTTGTGCCATATGGGGATACCCTTATGTATGTGTGCCGTTTGTGGATCCCCCTTCACGTCAACAGTTATTCCGTAGGTTGTCCCCCTTGCACCCCACCCCCCAAGTGTGGACAACTGTCGGGGCGTTGTAGTCTATCCATTAAGGAGTGACACCTCCTCTAGCATCCCCCGTTAACAAATTTTTCCCATCTCCAGAGTCGCTAACACTCACATCATGCCCCCTCCCGCGAGACTTCTTCAAAAAGTAGTCGAAGTTTTCCATGTAGTTGTGCTCGTACATATGTTTGACATTCTCTGGTAGCTCATAATTCTGCAGCCGTCGTTGTCCCTCCCTAACGTGGCTGTGCGTAGGAATGACATAGTCCTCTATATTTTTGGCATACATTTTGTGACTGTTTAGGACGTCCTGAGGGTATATAAGATCTCGTATCTTCTTGCTGAGGAGCTTTATGCCTAGGCCGAACTTGGCAGAGGTGCCAATAACTTCTATATGGGGGAACAAATTTTGCAGACGGAAATAAAGAGAGTCTAGATTTAGTAGGGCGTTCTTGTGTAGCATGTCACACTTGGTGGCAACGACAAGTTCCTTTTTTTTTAAGTAATCCGGATTGAAAAGGAAGAGTTCATTTCGAAGCATTTTTATTTGCTTTATTGTATCGTTATGGTAGTCCTTTAGGTTGGCACGGGATTCCTTCGATGTGTGGACATGATTACTTTTCTGTTCACTGGAGTTGTCCCTCTGTGTGTGTGGCGTTAATGCGTCCACGGCGCCCATCGCGTCTATGGCGTCCATCGCTTCCCTGCCACTCCCCCCCTTTAGGCTCTCCGTGTAGTAGTCTTCCACCTGTGTGTCGTCCACATTTTCAAGTTTGTCACTCGCAACGTCGATGACGTAAACGATAAGCTTGCTTCTGTATAGATGTCTTAGGATCCTCTTTCCCCGGCTGCAATCCTTGTGTGCGTTATGAAACAGGAAGGGGGTATCCAGCAGGGTTATTTCGACCCCATCGATGTAGTTAATGTTGGAGACGTGTGGTATGGTGGTGCTAAATATGTGACTACTAATGTTCCCATAGTACCTACTGAGGCTACTGCAGAGGGATGTTTTTCCACTGTTCTCAATGCCAATGAAGGCTACATCGTTCAATAGTCGGAGCTCCAATTCGAGGAGCATCTTCTCCCCCTTCTCAGGCAATCTATAATCATGCTTTTTAAAAAAAGAATATGATATTCCTCCTTTTCCTCCTCGAGCTACCAACAGTTCCTCATTTTCCTGTAAAAATTGATACCAAAAAATGCTTTTATATATCTTCCTATTATTTTCATTTTTTTTTTTACAGTAAATTCTCTTCCGGACAATTGTTCCTACCGGCACGAATACGACTTTGTCACTGCCATCTTTTCCTCGGCTGTTTTCTTTAAAATTTTCTCCATCATTTGCTTTAACCTTTTGTTCTATTTTGATTAAATCGTAAATGCTTCTTTTACTTTTCAGAATGACATTTCCTCCATGACCTCCATATCCTTCGCCCTTTAACTTTTTACTCCTTCGTCTTTTGTAGTTTGGCTCTCCCCCTTTCCCTGACTTGGCTACTACCCACAGGAAGTCGCAGAAGCGCCTTTCGTTTCGCATCATCAGGTGGTCAGTTGGTTCGGTGAGGATTCTCATCAGTGCTTCGTTTTTCGGGGTATCCCAGGGAACTGCGTCATCACTTTGGTGTCCGCAATTTGTGGGGGAGGCTTCACTTTCCGCATTGGCCATGGATGTTGATCCCCCCTTCGAAGGGGAACCCCCATACCTCCCCCTTTCGGGAAAACATAAATTGGCATCTTCAGTTTCGCGGACGCTTCTCAATTGGGGGCTCATCACGGGGTCTCCCCCTGTGTAGCTCTCCTCAGTCTGATCCCCCCCGGGTTGGACACCTTCGCAGACACTGACCGCCGCTGCATCACCGTTGGAGGAGCTCCCTGTGCATGTTCCCCCCTTTCGCCTGCGCACAACGAATTTTCTTTCTCCCTTAATGTAGACACACTCGCTGTTTTCGTAGACATCGTCCTTTTCGTGCACATCGTCGTTTCCGTACACATCGTTTGTTTCGTACACATGGTCCTTTTTGGGCACATCGCTGTTGAGGTCACGGTGGTCACTATACGCACTGCCTTCGCCACAATGTGTTGGTGTGCACTCCCCCAAGGGGGTACTGCTCGCCGCGTTTGCCTCATTCGGAGCCTGCACCGCCTGCACAATGGAAGAACTGCGTTTCCCCCGGAGGGGGCGCTTGCCCACCCCCGCGCTGCATAACGAAGTGAAGGTGGCGCTTCTTGGCGTGCAAAAACGAATTGCACCTTTCGACTTGGCCCCAAGGCTTACAGTCGAGACTCCCTCATGTTTTAACAAAAAAAGGACGATTTCTCTCTGGGGGAAACGTAAAAAAGAAAGTTTTTTTATGAGCATAAGTCGGTAATTTGAAGTGAAACAATATAGGCGAATTGCTTTGCAATAGTAGATTGAGAAAGACTTTCATCTCTTTGGTGAGCTGCGAATGGTAACTTTTTTTATGGGCCACTCTGCGTGATGCCCCTTCTCCAGGGGAAAACACACGAATGGGAAAAATGCAAACAATTGAGGAGCGAGTTGGATTTTTACGGATGAAAATTATTTAAAAGTGTTAAGGAGGATGAAAACAGGAGAGAAAAAAAAAATTAATCAAGTCACGCCACGAGGTGAAGAAGAAGGATTAATTTGTTTATTCTTCATTATTTAGGTTCCATTGAAAAAAGAAAAAAATAATAAAACGCATGCAGGTGGCAAACTCCGCTGTTAGGCCACACTTCACCAATTATAACCTTCGAATGGGGGAAAAATGCATGGGTGCTTCTTCACAGGGGCACCTGTTAACACACGCTTTACTTTAGGAAGGCGTCCCCAACTTTGGGGTTCACAATGCGAGGGTCTATTCAAATCGGGCAGGGTGCAAAAAAAAAAAAAAAAGAGCCACGGGGAGTTGGGCCTCGATTCGTCTGCCAATACAACATGTACACGTGGGCACATACTCGATCGGGAGGGTAAAAATGCAGGGGGAAGCATACAAATGTGCGCAGCGGGGGAAATGAAGTGACTATTTCGCAGTCCCGTTGGGCTGTCCCAAACGTGCTGTTAAACCGGGCGCTTCGCCGCTTTATCGCTTCGCCGCCTTACAGCTTTATCGCATTACCGCTGCACCCCCCCGCGACGTAGCGCTTGTAGATGATCGAGGCAGCGTAGCCCGTGAGCAAGCCCACCCGGAGCAGCGAGGAGCCAAAGCTGCTTACCATGGCCACGTTGCTCATCGAGTTGAGAGGCTTCAAGACATCCGAAATGTTGATAAAGGACAAAACGACAAACCAGCCATTTAGGTAAATGTTGGAAAAAATCAGGAGGCACTTAAAAACAAAATTTTGTAACAGGGCCGCATCTGTCAGGGGGATTATCAAACATAGGACGGATAGAAACGTCCTTGCGAGCGAGTATATGAATACCTTCCTTTGTGGCAGAAGAAACATTTTAAAAGCTGGTACTGTCTCTGCAAATGTTGGGAAAATCCTACTGACACAGTCAGCCAGCTGTACCATGCCAATCAGTATGTATCGCTCATCCACATTTTTTGTCCACATTTCTGGGCAGACAACAGGGAAAACTGCGATCTTCAGGAAAATATTATAAAAGGTGCAAAACAGGAAAACGATGGACTTCTTGTAGAGGAATGCCTTTATCCTGGCTTGCTTCATCATCTCGTTTAGCTTGACGTTGTATGAGGAGATATTTTGGAAGAACCGGCTCTTTGGGGTTACCTCCATAGGGTTCATCTCGTCCATCCGGTCCTTCGTATCCTTCGCATCTGCCGAAGCTTTCTTCTCAGCTCCCTTTCCGGGCTGCTTGTCCTCGTCGCCTTCACTTCCACTGTAGCGACCTTCGCGAGTGGAACCCTCGACCGATATCACGAAAGACGCCCCTCCGGTTGTTCCCCCCGCCGTGTCGAACAGCGTACCTCTTCCACTCCGCGAGCGTTTCCCCTCCCTTTCTTCCTGGTATATCTTGAACTTACGCTTAAACTCATCATTCCTTTTCAACAGGGAGTAGCAAACGAAGGAGACGAAGATAAAAGTGCAATTAATTAAGCAGGTGGCAAATATGGAATGCATAAGCTTATGTACGTCTTTGTCAATTTTTATTAAAAAATAAAAAAATGTAGACGTAATGAAAAGGGAGTAAATTCCAGTCAGACCGTACGACAAACAGATCACTTTGGAGCTATTCACGACGATGGTCGCAATTGAAAAAATCATAGTCTTCATCATAGAGCAGGTTGCACCGATGAATCCAATGAGCAAATAAAATAAAAAGGTCCGGTCATAGTAGTACTTTACAACAAGAGGGTACAATAACTGGAGGATAAACGAAATGACAAAACATATGTCATAGGTCCTCGTCTTCACTTCGATAAATAAAGAACTGATTAGTGAGATGGACACCAAGACGGAGAAGTATAAAAAGAAGGTAGATGACACCACGATGTTTCTGTTTAGCAGTTCGTGGATGTGGGGGGTAGTGTTCAAGACGCAGTTGTACAGCAGCACGGAGGACATTCCCATCAGGCAGAGGGTTATGTTTGCAAACGTGTTGCCAGATTGGCGGTGCTCTTTGTGAGGTGGTGTGCTCCTTTCTCTCGTGTCTGCTCTGATATTGGCTTGCGCGTCGTTTTTCGCTTCTGCGATGTTTTTCCTTTCCGAGTTGTCTTCCCCGACGGGTTGCGCCGGGGGACCACCCGTCGAGTTCGTTCGCTTACTGGGTGTGTTCATTTGGTGGGATGATGCGGAGTGACGTGCGGTGGTTCTCGATTGTTCGCCTTGATTCGCGATTATTCGTGGTGATTCGTGTTGATTGGCGGTGATTCGCGTTGATTCGCGGCGGTGTCTGACGGTGCACAGTTGCCTACAGTTATATTCGCCTTTCTCTCCCAGCCAGGACATGTAACAGGGGCTCCGTTTTGGAAGGCCCCCTCCCCTTTTTGTCCCTTTACTTGGTTATTGAAGACTTCCAGGGCCAGATGGCTATTTTCCTGGGCCCTCTTCTGGGGTCAAAAGTGGTTACGGCATATTGTACGTCCAACACTTCTTTTCCCATCACCGTTTTGGCCAACGCAGGCCTCGGGATTCTTCTATAGGAGCATATAGGTCCAGTGGTACACCCAAGTGTATAATTAGGCGGTTCTGTTTTCAGGGAAAATACAAAATTGGCAAAAATTCCACGGGGCCCAAAAAAACATGGAAAAGAAAAACGTGGAAAAAGAAATGTGGGAAAAAAAAGAAGCACAAATGAAGAAATGCTCGGATTGGGCAAATTAGTTCGGTTTGGAAAAAACGCGACTCCTTTTTAAAGAGGAAAAAACTTCACGTTGGGGACAAGTCCAAGCCGCTCACAGAGATGAGGGCTTAACATGTTCACCTTGGACTGCTGACCTTTGTGAGCAACTTCTCTCTTTCTTTTTTTTTTTTTTTGCTCATGTGGGAAAGAGGAAAGGTCACAAATGTGCCACTTTTTTACGCGCATGTTTACATAACAGCGTGGAGTCTCTCCGCTACCACACCCAGCGCCGCTACAATCTCTATTGCGAAAAATGGATTCATCGATTTGTGTCCCCATTTGTTAATCCAGATAATCCTACGATACGTAAGAAATGGCGTGGTTCTTCAAAAAAGGGGCTCCAGCGTCAGGGATTTTTTTGACCACCATCCAACCTTATGGGGGCATGACATCTGGGGAGACTTTGCACAACAACATTGTGCAGTAGGTGGTATATATAAATCACCGTGAATGAGAGTGTTTCCTTTCGAAGGACTTGTAAAATTTTGAGAAACATGCTTTCCCTTCCTGTGAACATTACATGTGGTTTTCGCATGAGAGGGAAAACTTCCCCTTCGAGGTAGAGGCAATTTTTATTTTTTTTTATTTTTCTTCTTTTTTACCCTATGTTGTAGCAACACAGGAGATGTCCTCATCGGTGTTGTATAGATCGACATTAACTGTTGTGGATGCCCCAAAAAACCACTATTTTGGAGTGGCTGTCTTAGTGGAGCGGAAGCATATAAAATGTGTTCCCCCCCCCTTGGTGTTTTAGTGAGCAGCCAATATTTTACCGCTTACGGGAAAGGAAAAGGAAAGTGTGCATCATTATGCTCGGAATGGTACACACTTGAAGGGGGTTAATTGAGGGTCTAATCTTAGGGAGCGGCAAATGGGGCCTTACCTCCTCGAAGTAGGTTTTTCTTCATTTGGCCTCATATCAAGGGAGCCAATTTTTTTCTTTCTTTTTCCCACTCCTTTAATAAAATGATAAGAAGGTACCTGAAGATATACCCATCCATCTACTACACCAAACATGTGAAGACCGCCCCCGAAGTGAATGAGCAGTCCGTCTTGTTGAAAAAAGATTACGTGTTTAATCAGTATGGTGGACAGGAGGTTTTCCTAAATAATAAGCTAAAGAAGGGACAGGACGAAAACGAAGTAAAGAGAATCTATTATTTCAAATTGTGGAACGCCCTCACCGAGTATAACTTCACTCTTTTTGAAAATACCATTCAGCAGTTTTTAAATGAGGGGCACAAGTATGACGAGGTTGTCTACTCCATTTTGATCCACTCGTACGTGCTGAACCATAAGAAGAAGAATGAAAATGTAGGTGGATCAGTGCTATGACTGCGTCGCGCAGGGCAGCGGGGCGGCCGCCTAGTTCACCACATTCCTCAGTGCAAGCCTGACCGCTTGCCCCACCGCTTGCCTCACTGCCTCACCGTGTGCCCCCCCGCGCAGGCCTATCTCGTGATCGAAGAAATGAAGCGCAGCTACATGCACCCGGCCATCATAAAATTGAACGAGAGGATGATAAACTCGTTCCTAGAACTGGAGATGATTTTCTGCGAACCATCCAAGAGCCTGTGGATAAACATATGCCGACTCGTTTGGGAGACGTCCATAAAGCTCAACAGAGAAAGGAAGAGGAAACTAAAAGAGAAGCTGAAACTGATGCCCCCAAACGATGTCCTAACATTGACTAGGGAGGACTTAAAGCTTATGCTGAAGAAGGAGTATGAAGAAGCTTTATTAAATATGGTTGACACGATGGCGCTGGAGGACGATTCTTCATATGATCACGTGCTAATTGGGAATGACGAAATGGATGATTCAATGGGGGAAGTAGTAAGCGGCGAGGAGGGCGGAGTTACGCAAAGCACCCACCTCCCGGAAGGACTAAATCATCTCCTTTTAGCTCCAGCCGAAAGAAGAAACAAACACACTTACGACGATGAACTGTATGATTTTCATAATGACTCAACTGATTGGATGCATTACCCAAGGGATGGCGCCGAAAGCTTTAAAGATGGTTTCTCTTTTTTATACGGACAAGGCACAGGAGAGGGTGAAGAAGAAGGTTCCTTGGACGATGGGGAGCTCCAAAGTTTTATGGACGTCGGACGGGAAAACCCACTCAACGACGACGTGCTGGAAAATGCGAAAGAAGATGAAACTGACGACTCGTTTGAGGATAACGAAGATTTTGACATTCAGCTTTTGAGAAAGTACTACAATTTTAAGTAGGTTGAAAGAGGGAGGGGGAGTTCCTTTTGTTGGGAGGGTTGCTGAATCGCCTTCGTCAGCTTCGTCGGCATTCATTTTATTTTGCCCCCATTTCGATATACCTCATCCTATTCCTGTTTATCTGCTTTGCCCATGATCAGCCATTTATTTTGGCAGTTCCCCTTTTCGTCCCTAACCATTAGGGCTAGTCATTCGGCTTATCCCCTTTTCCAAAAGGTGCATCTTCCATTTGTTACAATTTTTGATGAACATTTTTTCCCCACCGTGTGACTGACCACTTTGTATGGCGCGATTTACCTAATTTTCTCAAGTGCGCCATGAAGGCCCTCCCCATAATCCTTCCCCCCCCTGTGCATTCATTTAACATGCGAAACAGAAAGAAGAAAAAAAAACTCGCAAATTGAAGGGACGCGAACAATGCTGCAGCTTCGTTATCAGACGGAGAACGTTTTGTTCATAGAAGAGGAAGAGGAAAAACAAGGCAGAAACGGAAGGGGGTTAAGGAAGTTTCGTCTTTTTTTTTTTTTTTTTATAATCCCCCACTAGCCACGTACTTCATATTCGCGAATATAGCATAAATGTACATAAAACATCAGGGATGGAGAAGAAAAAATTGAACCTCTGCAAAGACAACGAACCTATCTTTTGAGCATCCAAATGGGACGACATGCATTTCGCAAAACTGTCATAAGAGCCACTAATTTTTCTCACTTGTGAGGTTGGGTATACCGTTCGGTGGTGACCTGTGGCACAAAAAAAAATAAAGCAAATTAAAAAAACATATTTAAAAAAGGGCATATTAAAAAGGCCAATTAAAGAGGCAAATTAAACAGGCAAATAAAATAGGCAAATTAAACAGGCAAATAAAATAGGCAAATTAAACAGGCAAATAAAATAGGCAAATTAAACAGGCAAAT